CCTGGAGCCTGTGCTCTCGTGGGAGGGACCAACAGTAAACACAGCAAATGTCTTCATCTGTTCAGGCTGTTATAACAAAGTACCTTATACTAACTAGGTCCTTCCTTCCCTCCCTTCACTCTCTCTCTCTCTTTCTTTCTTTCCTTTTTTTTTCTTTTTCTTTTTTTTTTTTTGCGATGGAGTCTTGCTCTGTCATCCAGCTGGAGTGCAGTGGTGCCATCTCGGCTCACTGTAACCTCCACCTCCTGGGTTCAAGCAATTCTCTTGTCTCAGCGTCCCAAGCAACTGGGATTATAGGCACATGCCACCACACCTGGCTAATTTTTGTATTTTTAGCAGAGACAGGGTTTTGCCATGTTGGCCAAGCTGGTCTCAAAGTCCTGACCTCAGGTGACCTGCCTGCCTCAGCCTCCCCAAGTGCTGGGATTACAGATGTGAGCCATGGCCTGTAATTATTAAATTACCACACTAGGTAATTTCTTTTTTTTTTTTTTTTTTGGGACGGCTTTTCGTTTTTGTTACCCAGTCTTGTTTGCAATGGCGCGATCTCGGCTCACCGCAACCTCCGCCTCCTGGGTTCAGGCAATTCTCCTGCCTCAGCCTCCTGAGTAGCTGGGATTACAGGCACGCGCCACCATGCCCAGCTAATTTTTTGTATTTTTAGTAGAGACGGGGTTTCACCATGTTGACCAGGATGGTCTCAATCTCTTGACCTCGTGATCCACCCGCCTCAGCCTCCCAAAGTGCTGGGATTACAGGCGTGAGCCACCGCGCCCGGCTGTAATTTCTTAACAACAAAAATTTATTGCTCACAGTTCTGGAGGCTGGAAAGTCCAAGATCAAGGCTGGTTCCCCATAGATGGCGCATTCTATCTGTGTCCTCCCAGGGAAGAAGGGGCAAATGCTATATCCTCACATGACGGAAGGGGCAAGGGCCTTGCTGGAGCCTCTTTCATAAGGGCACAAATCCCATTACTCTTCCTGGGGTGGCCGCATGAGGAGGCAAAACCACCATGGCTACCCTGTGCCAAGCTCATCAAAGTTGCCTATGAAGAACCTCCTTCCTGTGCAGGGCCAGTGGTCTTGAAGAGCAACCGCTAGCAGACCGGAGATGGGTCTGGCTCTCCGCCAGCGAGTGGCTTGAGATCAAAGCCGAGGTGCACGGGCCTGCTGCCCACCTCCCCCACTGAGTCTGGCTGTCGCAGGTCTTGTCTTCTCTGGAAGATGAAAAGGGGAGACGGTCCCTCGCCCCAGCCCACATGAATTCTCTATGGACCGCGCAGCAGCACACTTGAAAGAAGCCAGGGGTTATCTGCAAAATTCCAATTAAATCCACAGGCTTTGATAATTTGATAAGCCACTCCACAGTCACCCCCGAGTCAAAATATACTGTTACTTGATCCTGTGTTTATGTTCTAGGCTGGAGGGAAGGGAGGCGCACAGTGGCCTGGGGAGGTCCCAGTAGCCTGAGGGGAGGAGGCGCCAGCACTAGGCTAACACATCTGCAGGCTGTACAGCGGCCGACGGTCACAGGCAAGGTCCGGCTCTTTGTTGGCAAGCACACTCTGCAGTGGGACACGGGTCTCTCTTGGTGGGTCCTGGAGGGGGGGCAGAGATAGGGTGGGGCCAGGAGAGGGGACGCCCCTCAGAACTGCCTGGCCACAGCTGAGCCCACCTCCTGGGCCTCAGGCCTGCCTTAGGGCTGGAGGGATTCCTGTTCACAGGCCCATCTCTTGCCAGACCAGCAGTGAACTGGCCCAAGTGGCCAAGACCACCTCGAGAAAGAGGCACATAACCCCTGCTGCCCTGGTGACGCAGTGGCCAAATGCTTCACAGCCCCTCCCTGCAAAAGTCAGGCTGTGGTCTGCAGGCGGGGATCGTGCACACATCCCATTCTGTTCCTAGCCTTCCATGAACCCAGGTGTGGAGCACTCCCTGTGTGCCAACAGCACCTGGCTGGGTTAGCTGAGTAAACCGTTTTGACCAGCTCATGAGTTCTGCATTATCTCGTTTCAGGGATGTGGAAACAGAAATAGAGAGACATTGAGCAAATGGCCAAAGATCACCCAGCCTTAAGTGGCAGGGCCTGACCCCAGAGCCTGGTCCCACAGAGCCATGACCTGTGGCCTCGCTGACAGCCGAGTGTCCTGCTGAGCCTGGTTTCCACTGTTTCTCAGGGGCCTCCTAGAGGTGGGCAAAAGGCTAACTTAATGCCATGAATGTGCAGGTCGACACATGAAGTGAGGCCAATTGATTCAGCTGAAAGGCAAAGAGCGGGCTTGGAGGCTTGGGCCACGGCGGGTGGGGGTGGTCAACTGCTTTTGTGGCGATTACACCTGCGGCCTCCACCATCAACGATCCTGATCCTTTTCCTCTGCTGTGGGGCATACGATCACGGGGGATTCCAACAGCCACCAACCTAGGGAGGAGCGTCTCCTCTCTCCCCAAGCAATGACAGAGAATGAGAGGCTTGAGGAGAGCATCACAGCTGGGCATGGGCAGGGTCAGGCAAGGGCCCAGGGATACCACTGCCAGGCTCAGAGCCTTCCCCTGCCCTGAGGCAAGGCCAGGATGAAGAGGGAAGAGGCAGCAGCACAGAGAGGCGGGGACAGGAAGGAGACACTGAGGAGCTTCAGGGCCACAGTCCCCAAACCTGTTAAGCAGGCAGGAGAAACAGAAGAGGGTGGGCTTCTGCTTGCAATCTGGAAGTTCTGGGTTCAAATTCCCGCTCCAGCTGTGTGCACCTGTTTTCTAACCTGTTAATGTGGGGATAAGAATATATAAGCTCTGGCCGGGCACCGTGTCTCATGCCTGTAATCCCAGCACTTTGGGAGGCTGAGGTGGGTGGATCACTGGAACTCAGGAGTTCAAGACAAACCTAGTCAACATGGTGAAATCTTGTCTCTACTAAAAATACAAAAATTAGCCAGATGTGGTGACACACGCCTATAATCCCAGCTACTAGGGAGGCTGAGGCACAAGAATTGCTTGAACCTGGGAGGTGAAGGTTGCAGTGAACCGAGATTGCTCCACTGCACTGCAGCTGTGATAGAGCGAGACTCTGTCTCAAAATAATAATAATAATAATAATAATAATAATAATATACCAGCCCTGGTGCAAACCTCTCCTACCTCTTTTCATCTGAGTTTCATGGATAACCCTTGGAGGCTGCGAGAACAGGGCTTAATCACCATTTCCTTTTTACAGATGGTTTTCCATTTCTCTCTATTCTTTCTTTTTAAATTTAAATTTTTTATTTTTATAGAGACAAGTTCTCACTATGTTGTCAGGGCTGGCCTTGAGCTCTTGGGCTTAAGAGATCCACCTGCCTTGGTCTCCCAAAGTGCTGGGATTACAGGTGTGAGCCACTGTGCCTAGCCTTTTTTTTTAATCAGCTGAATTTAAGATTCATCCTGTTTCTCTCTAAAGTAGAAACTTCAGCCAGCACTAAGCCACTAGGGACCACAGGGAGGCTTGCGGAAGTACGTGAGGGATCTGCCTGGACACCACACTGCTAGTAGCAGCAGAACTGGGATGTGAACTCCCTTGCATCCTATACCCTGTGGCTTCCCACTGCTTCACACTATGAACCAAGTTGCTGATAAGTTCCTGATGGTTCATAGTGCTTGCTTCTTGCCTGAGGGAGCCATCAATGAAGATGACCTTTGCTAGGTCGGGTGGGCCTCTAAGCAGCTCTTTCCTTCAAAATGCCCAGGCCATTTCAGGCTATTAGTCTTTTAGCAGGCATGAAGACAGAAGGGTCCCTTTAGGCTGGACTCCCACATATGGTGTGTAGGCCGCACATTCCACAACCTCATGGCACATTCACAGGAAGTGCAGTGTGGGTGGCACCTCCAGAGCCAGGCAATGCGCACCCTCATCTCCAGGCTTTCTCCTCCCCACGCCAGGTGCCCCCTGCCCCTCCCCACCCATCCCAGGGAGTTCCTCTGTCCTACTCTCTCCTTTCCCTCTGTAGGAGCCGCCCCATCTACCTCTCTCTCACCCGCCTGGTACTTTAAGCTTCCAGGGGACAGTGATGGAGCGGGGTGATTCATCGGCATCCCTTCATTCCTCTCTCCTATCCAACAACCCTCCCTGCCTTCTGCCCATCAGCTCCTGGGTGGGAACTGGATTTTTCTTTCCAATGAAAACCTACGCTGGGGAATACTGGTGAGCAGAACACTCTGAGCAAGAGAGGGTGGCCATCGGATGGATTTGGGTCCTGTGTGGGAGAAACCAGCATGGCTGGATGGGCCATCTTGACCACCAGCCCAGAGCATCCCAATTCCAGAGAGAACAAAGACCTGCAAGGTTCCCTGTTTCTCTCCAAACACGGAAACGTTAGCCAGCACTGGGCCACTAGGAACCACAGACTTAGGTTCAGGTCTTGGCCTGTCTCCTATCAAACCATCTGCATGACTTTGGAGAAAAGCACTTAACCTCACTGAGCCATGGTTTCCTCCTCTGTAAATAGGACTATAGAATATGATAATGCCTGTCATAAAATGCTATAGATAAAAGACATTGGGTACATCCATTATGACTGTTGATGATGATTATAAAATCTGTGGTAGCAGCCCAGGACTGCGGTTATTCAGCAGGTGAGTTTTTAGCCTAGGCAGTGCATGCTGGGAGCTTTGTAGCCAGGACAGCAAAGGGCAAGGACTGTGCTAGCCGTGAGCCGTCTCAACGGCATGACCATTATATTTTCTGTGATCTCATCTGCTCCTTATAGCAATCCTGTGAGCCAGAAAGAGTTTGTAGGAAAACCTGCTCCACAAATGCAGAGACACCCTCACTTGCAGCCCTGGGTAACAGAAAATGAGGAGTGGGCTCTGGTACTGGGAGCCTGGGGAGCAATGTCCCCCATTCCTTTGGACCGCTGGCCCTGCTAGCTCTCCTCTGTGCGTGTTCCCACAGCCTTAGCCTCCCAGGGCTGGCCACCCAGCTTCAGTCCATGCCTCCCAAGCACACAGGAGAGGCCTCAGCTAGTACTTACTCTTTTGGAGGGTTGACATCCTCAGGTCGAGCCTCAAAGAACCGGAAGACTTCATCGCACTGTGAGATGTGGGGTGGCAGCCGGACAAGTGCCTGCAGAAAGACAGAAAGGGCATTAGGTGTGAAGCACCTGGGAACAGGAAAACCAAGACAGTGTCACCCTGCACCAGCAGTGACAGAGAGGATGATCAAAAGCTGCCAAGGAAGACATGGTCAACCAGCCACCCACCTGTCCACCCAGACAACTACCCAACAAATCAACCAATAAAAGAATGAATGAAGCAATCAACCTTCCTTCCTTTCCTCCTTTTTATCCATTTCTCTCAACTAACTAACCAGTCAACTAACTGACCAACTAACCAACCAGCCAATAATCAACAAGACAATAACAAAAAAAAAAAAACCTATCCAGTTATGAAATCAACCTACCTATAAACCATCCGGTCAAACGACTAACCAACCATCCAACCAGCTAGTCAACAAACTAAACAACCAGCTTATGAAGAAAAGACCACTGTACCCTGGAACCCTGGGGTCTCAGGGTCCTCAGGAGCTAGCCGTTCTGCAGGGACCTGAGGGAATTCCCTCCTGCACACAGAAAAAGTCCAAGATCCCTAACCTGACAGTCCAAGGTCATGTCCTCCCAGGCTTGTCTCCCACTAGCCACACTTCAGCTGCACCAGGCATTCACACTCCCTAAACACTGACCACACAATTAATTATTTAATGACAAGTTGATAAGTGCTGCTAAGGATGACAGAGTGCTAAGATGCAGTTTGATAGGACCCAAGAAGATTCGGGAGATGGGGAGGGCTCTCTAAAGCTAAGTTCTGAAAGATGGGTAAGAACTAACTGGTCAAGGTAGAGGCAGGGCGATCAAGCATGTTGGTTCCAGGAGATGAATGAGGGCCAGTGTGGCCTGAGGGTCCAGAGCAAGGGAGGGGGCCATGGGAGGCGGGCAGGGGCATGGCTAGCAGGGCCTGTTTTAGGCAAAGCTGAAGATACTTGGGGAAACAGTGTAAACTGAAGGGTGTGGAAAGGCTTCTGGGCATGAGCACAGCTAGTGGAGTTGGCAGGGTTTGGACAAGCAGAGAGGAGGAGTGGGCATCCTATGGGAAGAGTGGTCATGGCAAGCGTGTGCACCAGCTGTGAGCTTGTCATGCAGGCAGGGGGCTAGTCTGCAGCTGGAAAGTGAGGCACTAGGTCAGGAGTGGTCAGAGTCAGGCCGGGCACAGTGACTCACGCCTGTAATCCCAGCACTTTGGGAGACCAAGGCAGGTAGATCACTTGAGGTCAGCAGTTGGAGACCAGCCTGGCCAACATGGTGAAACCCCATCTCTACTAAAAATACAAAAATTAGCTGGGTATGGTGGCGGGCACCTGTAACAACAGCTACTCGGGAGGCTTAGGCAGGAGAATCACTTGAACCCGGGAGGCAGAGGTTGCAGTAAGCTGAGATTGCACCACTGCACTCTAGCCTGGGTGACACAGCAAGACTCTGACTCAAAAAACCAAACCAAACAAAACAACAAAACCAAAAAGCCCACAATAAACAAGTAAAATAAAATAAAATAAAAAGAAGGTAGCCAGAGTTCATGCTGCACATCAGCCACAGGACCCCGAGCTGGCCCAGTCCGACATGGAGGGGTTAGGGGTGTAGAGTGAGGCCAGGTGCAGCCCCGCTTTCTGGGTCCCTCAGTTTTGCATGGGGAGAAATGCTGGGGCAAGGAAGGATCCCTTGATCCAAACCGACAGGAGAGGACACTGCCAAAGCATGGCTGAGGGACGAGGGACAGGGAACCAAGGGCTAGAGCCAGGAGAAGACAGAACAACCCCGCAATGGAGGAGCCAACAAACAGGGCGTGTGAGAAACTGTGATGAGAAGCCACCTGGTCTGTAAGACAGGACCCTGTCCCATGCCCCCGCCTCCTGAAACCTCACACACATAACCAGCTTCAGATGCAAGGCCTGGATCCAGTGGCTCCCAGGCCAAGTACAGTGAGTCTGTGAGTGTTGTTTCCGGAAATCCTTGTGAGGGTCCTCATGAGGGCATGATTCTCATCCCCATATTACAGGTGAGCATATGGAGGTGTGCGGAGACCACGTGGCCTGCCCACAGGGACCCATGGAGGGTGGGAAAGACTCACTGGAAGATAAGCTCCATGCAGGCAGGGATTTTAGTCTGTTCTATTGACTCCTGTGTCCCCAGATCCTAGTAGAGTACCTGACATTGAGCAGGCACTCGATTAATATTTGTTTAAATAAATGAATGAATGAAAAATGGATAAAGTAATAAAGATTTCCGTGTCTATAAGCCCAATAGCCAGGAGCCATGGGACATGACAGTGGGGCAAAAAACCCACAGATAATCTTAGGCTCATCAATAGAATTATAATACTGAGGAAGAGGAAAGTGATGGTTTAGTCATTCTCTGAGCTGGCTAGATAACAACTCAAGTGTGCCATCTAGCAGCAGGCATCCTATCAAGATGGGCCCTTCTCAATGCCAAACCCACACCCAGGCAAGATGAGACAGGAGCAGATCATAGCAGGTGAGAGGGCATGAAGCAATTCCCATTACTCCTTCTGGGGCTTGTGGCTTTCCAGGGGTCTCTAACATAGCACATCTCCATCAATAGGAAAGAAACGGGAAAGGAAAATGAACATTAAATGAGCAGCTGTGCGTCAGGCCCTGCCCTTGGCCCCTTGACTCCTCCAGGCATCCACCAAACAGTGAGGGCTTGGCAGTGCGTGTCACACATGGGGCTGTGCCTGGTTTTACAGGGATGAGAGAGAGCAAATCTGATGACATGTCACCCCACTTTGTCCTGGAGGTAGACATCATTGTCTCCATGTACGATGGGGACACTGAGGCTGCTGGGGGTGAAGCCATAAGTGAGGAAAGGGGCAGAATCCAAGCCCCAAGCTGTGAAGGTCAGATGGGTGGAGGCTGCCCCCAAAGTGTTTAAGTCTAATTTGATGCACATGGTTTATGCTGTGATCTCCTCGGGCAGGATAGAAGGAAAAGGAAATGAAAAACTAAGGAAAGAGAGACAGGGAGCGAGAGGGAGGGAGAGAAAGTCAGGCATGAGCATCGAGGCCTCTGGCAGGGAGGACGGGGCGGGGGGCCTCAAAGGGAGCGCTGATGGGGTCGGGAAGGGCAGAAGGCAGGAGGAAACCGTTACCAGGGATCCCACCTGTGTGCAGACAGTCACTGCGGGGTGACCCCCCTGAAAGTGAGAGGGAGGGACGCAGGGCAGGAGAGGCCGGGTTTCAGCATCCTGGAGTGCTAGTGCCCTCCCAGCTCAGCGCGCTGCCACCCACCCTAAGCACAGACCCTGGCCGGCCACAGCTCACCCAGCCCTGGCAGGGAACAGAGGGGCTCTTCATGCCGACAGAGACCCGCATTCCGGAGGCCAGAGGATGCGAGGGCCTCAGACAAAGAGGCCTTTTGGTGGAACCACTGCGGCATCTTTATTTAACAGGGAGCCCTTGAGGGGAGCCGCGTGGAGGGCTTGTCCTGATTTCAGGCTGACAAGAGGCTCTCAGCCCAGAGCAGCTTCCATCAGAGCTGCTGCCAAAGCTCAGCTCTGGCCAAAATCATTTGGCAGGAGAGGGTGGTGCTGAGCAGTGACTCCCCACAGCCTGGGCTGGTGATGATGGCCAGGGCCAGGGCACCCCCAAGCCCACAAGCATTCTGAGAAGAACAGGGTGGGGGGCCACATACATGAGTATACCAGGGTTAGCACCCCAGCTCAGGTCTAAATTTCTGCCATGAGACATTCATGATGTTTGCCATGTGGTGGTAAAGTCAGGGCCTCAGAACCTCAGGATCTTGGGCTGCAGGCAAATGTGGGCTTGGGTCCTGGCTCTGCCATTTATGGGCTATGTGAGGCTAGATGCATTCCTCCCCTCTCTGAGCTCTGGGATGATACGTGGCACCTACCTAGCTGTTAGGAGGCTGAGATGCATACGAGAAGCTTAGCGCAATGCCTGGTGAAGGGTAAGCACTCAGTAGATGAGAGCCGTGATAACATTAGTGTCACTGCTGCCATCATCATTCTTTAGGAGAAAGCAGTGATGCTCACTCAAAAGAGCACTAGAATGAGAGACAGGAGAGTTGAACTCTAGTTCCAGTTCTGCAGTTATATACTTGCTGTGTGACCTTAGGCAGCTCACGTCACCTCTCTGGTTGTCATTTCTTCCAAGATAAAACGGAATCCTGAAGTGTCTCATGGAAGAACTGCCTGATGAGGTGAAATGCACCCTGTAGGCACATGTGAAATCTGCCTCGACAGTCCCCGATCTTAGCCTTGGGGATTACCATGTTTATGACCAACACAAAGACTCTGAGAAGTCCTGCAGAAAAGAAACCTGTAGAGCTTAGCACAGGCCAGCATTTACTACTTACTACTGACAACATCCTGTGGGATGTGTCATTTAATCAGCACATCAACTCTAAGGGGACAGTGTGACTATGATTTCAGTTTTACAGAAGAAGAGGCTAAAGTAGGAAGAGGTTAAGTAATTCCCTGAGGCCTCACAGCTAGTAAGTAGCAAAGTATTTTTGTTTCTTTTTTTTTTTTTTAGACGAAGTCTCACTCTGTCACCTAGGTTGGAGTGCAATGAAACAATCTAGACTCACTGCAACCTCCACCTCCTGGGTTCAAGTGATTCTCCTGTCTCAGCCTCCTGAGTAGTTGGGATTACAGGCATGTGACACCACACCTGGCTAATTTGTGTATTTTTAGTAGAGACAGGATTTCGCCAAGTTGGCCAGGCTGGTCTCAAGCTCCTGACCTCAAGTGACCCACCTGCCTCGGCCTCCCAAAGTGCTGGCATTACAAGCATGACTCACCACATCCGACCGTAAGTAGCAAAATTTTGAATCAGGCTGAGTCCAGAGCCTATACCCTGATCCACTCCCTCCTGCCTCCAGCTTTACCCACAGGTGTTTGACTGTGGTGCTGATTTTCCTAACAACTCCTCGTGACATCCCGTGGAACACAGCTGAGGCAAATCTAGGTTTGAGACATTCTGAAATTTCTTCCAGGTCTAACTGTTAACAACTGTAACTGTAAATAGCACCATCAC